TTTCCATTTACAAAATAATATTCAACGTAAAGTTCAAGTGAGTAATTAAGTCTGATAGATAATTCAAATATTCACACTTCATTTCTTCTCTGTAGGAATTGGGTTTTAAAACAAATTATGAACAAGATCCTGTATTCGCACATAATGTCAGTAAAATTGCTGCTCTTGCATTTCTTCAAGACAACGGTCACAGGGACGATCTCAATCCATGTTTTCAGTTGAATTCTGGAATATGCATCAACGAACAACTGATCTTTCCATGCGCACGAATAATTCAGCTGAAGCTTGGCACTGTCATCTTAACTCCATCCTTCAATGCCAGCATCCTGCCCTTTGGGCTTTCATTGAAAGTCTACAGAACGAAGAACATTTTATTCATTGTCAATTAATTAAACTTAATACTGGTCAAAAAGTTGAACCAAGTAAAAAGTATTTAAATTATAGTAAACGTTTGCGTCATTTAATTACGCATCCACATCCAACCTTACTACAACAATTAGAAGGACTTGCTCATAATTTATAAACTGCTATACTTTTCTTTTGTATCTGTCTAACTTATTTGTCTCAATTATCAGTTTCGCATAACATCATTGTATTAATATAATTAGTGTGAATTTTACCTTTACACTTGGCAGTTCGAGCTTTTGTTTAAAAAACGTTTTTCTTCTTTTATTACGAATTTCTCAACTAATTTTCGTAGCGACTATATTTCCTAGCGGCCATATTTCGTGGCGACCAATTCTCCGCGATCAATTTTCGCTCGACCTATTTTCTTTCGACCATTTTTCGTAGACCCCGTAATGTGACCCAATGAAAACTGGAGTTTTCCAGAAAACCCATATAAGAACATGTCAGAAAAGTCTGGGCAAAAATGCATCGATTTTCTTTTTCGATATTCTATCTCTGCTATAAATTTGAGCTTGATCGGACGTGTGCAGAGATGGGCAAGTCCGATATTTTTTCACTCCCAGTCCACTAGAGGCTAAGTCCGAATCAGTCGCAGTCCGCTATGCAGCTGAAATATTCCAGTCCCAGTCCGCTAAGCTTCAAGTCCGATGGTGACCACAGCATACACTGTTTTCTATTTCCATTTTTTCCTTCTTTTTATCAGAGAGTAACTGTTTCTGTACTTGGCTATACCAACAAAAAAAGATTACAGCAAAAACAACAGCTGTCTTTTGATTGTAAGTGACCGATCAAACAAAAGTTTTGATCAGAGGTAATCTTAACCGACCATGAGGTAGCACGAAAAACATAAAATAGTGAATTCAATTTCTTTATTCTGTTCATCTTTTTTCAAATTTAAACTGAAAAGTCTGGTCACAAATGTAAGAAAAATCTGTTAAAAAATAGTCCATGTCTCTTATGTCTTCAGTCCCAGTCCAGTCCAAGCATTCGTAGCACTAATAAAAGTTATTCTAGTCTGAAAGCTATCAAGTATTTAAGTAATAGATGAAGTATTCTGTGGGTTTGTCTTTATTTGCATGAACGTATACTTCTATTTCATAAAACATGCTAGAATCCATGTGCTTCCGCTATCAGAAAATAGAATTTGCGTCGAACTATGCTGTAAACGACGACTTGGACGCCCTCCCACGTGCATGAACCCTAAGAACAACCTAAACCAGACTACTTCAATTTATGTCACTAATTTTGATGGAACGTTGTCAATCTGATGTCTAGACTAGATTATGAATAAGCTAAAATTTTCAGAGTTTTAAAGTGTTCTCTTGCCGAGACCATCAAAATCCAACAAGGGTTAGATTGTCAACAGCAAAGATGTTGTCTTCGTTAATTACCCAAGAATACCTGGTCGAGAAGAGAGAATCAAAATATGCACTCTAAAAAATAAAGTGTATAAATGACACACAAAAAATGAACGCCAAGTAGATTCCTATTGACCGTCTAGAGCGTACGACGTAGGTGTGTAAAATACACACTGAGACCAATAACGCAGTCTAGTTGTCTAAACCGTCTGTGCTGGAAATGTCTCAGATCCATCAATCCGTCGTTCAAATCTGTTACATGGCGATATTTTTTTTCGCTTTTTTTCTTATGTATTTTGGCAAGGAGTGACAGCATATATAATTACGAAAACTGTGATTATGATTCTGAAATCACTTTTTCGTTTGATGTAATAGTTCGTAGCAACGAAATGGCAAATTTGTTTGACACACCTAGGTTCTTACACACTGAGATCGACCGTCTGGAAAAAGTACACACTTTTCGATGTTGAGTGACCTATGGAAGAAGATTTAATAAAGAAGATTTACACACTTAGTAACACACTTTATTTTCTACAGTGAAGAATAGACAATTTCTGAGAATCACAAAGATTGTATTGAACAGAAAGTAGAATTGTCAAATAGATAATCGATTTGTCATCTTCATTCAAACATATTTTAAACTTCTGACATTTTGTGAAGTCATGGCATCGGCGCGAATCGGTACCGCACACCCTTACAAACCGTTATCTATTGAGTGAGTATCGTCTTTTACTCCCAGCAGGTCTATGTGCATTTTAACAACCGAAAAACGTGCTCATGAGTAAAGCTTCAACAGAATTGAGAAACAGTATAGGTGCGAAGCTTAACGTCTTTTCCGACTCAGCTATTCCCAGAACATCATCAGAAATAGTGGTCGTCGTTGGTGTAATCTTTCATGGCCTATCACTAGTTCGGCATTCGGTTGCCATTACAGATAACCATAACCGTGCAAGACTCTAGTATCAAACACCATTAGTCTGGGTATTTTGTGTGACTGACGAACATCAGCTGAATATTGATAAAGCTTTTATTTCCATTCCACTATAGAACATTCCAACCTCCTTTCCTTTTTAACAGTCAATAAAAACTCTATAGAAAAACTATTCGACTACTATTTCTTGACCAAAATCGGTCGTAGCCAAGTTCATACGGATCTGGTGCCAAGATTACACCTGTTTCACTTTCATACTTCACCCATAGTTCAATCAGTTCTTTCAACACTTCCGGCTTGTCTTCTGCCAAATCTTTTGATTCGCCCTTGTCATGTGTCAAATCGTGCAATTCCCATTTTGTCTCCTCTGGAAGTGGGCCTTTTGGGATATAAACAGCTTTATAGTTTCCGCGGCGGATCGCCCGTTCACCGAAGAGCTCCCAACCGGTGAAATCCTGGCATTCGTCATGGATTGGTTGATGCGAGTGAAAATGCGACACCCAAGATTTTCCGCGAGGCAAAACGACTTGCTGACCTTGAAAGGTTGTACCTGGATGTGTCAGGCCGGCTAATTCGAGTATCGTAGGTAGGATATCCATAACAGTACAAAATTCATGCGACATTCTTCTCGATGTCGACGTCAATGGACCATAGTGTACAATAGCTGGACATCGAATTCCGCCCTCTGTGACGTGTCCTTTCGTCATTCGACTTGGTGCCGTTGCTGCTTGTGCCCATTGCGAGCCATACCAAATAAACGAAGTCTTTGTACCAATATTTTCATAGGAATTATCAAAGTATGGGATGCTTTTATCAACCGATTGAAGTGGAAGTGCCTCGAGTACACTTCCTTCCGCTCCATTGTCGGATATAAAAAGAATAAATGTGTTATCGAATTGATTCGTCCGACGGAGATAGTCGACTAGACGACCGACATTGTAATCCAATCGTTCAACCATGGCTGCATAGATTTCCATTGTTTTCGCCGAGAATGCCCGCTCTTTGTCCGACATCAAGGTCCACGATTTCTGATCTGTTGACACTGTTGCGGGGACGACATCGGGAGAGAGCAAGTCCAACCGACGTTGGCTTTCAAGCCGGGCAGCACGCAACGCATCTGGCCCTGCATCATATCGTCCTTTATACTTCTTGATCAATTCTTTCGGCGCTTGTAAAGGCCAATGCGGAGCGGTAAAAGCAAGATAGGCAAAGAACGGTCGTTCATCATCTTCGTCGAGAAATCGAATCAATTCCGATGTGAAATAATCTGATGAATAGTAGTCATCCGGCAGGGTTGTATGATTGACAAATACATCATCTCGTGCATACAACGGAGGCATAAAGCCGATCGCTGGTTGTTCTGCTGTTCCAGGTTCATAGTTGAAATGATTGGCGGCACCTGGTAGCAGCGCAAAACTCTTTTCGAAACCTCGCTCCGATGGAAATCGTTCCTTTGTTAATCCTAAATGCCATTTTCCAGCCATCATCGTTCGATAGCCACCTAGATCTCTAAGGATCTCGGGAAGAGCGGCAACCCGATCGTTCAAATATCCCTCATATCCTTGTTTTCCGTCCCAAATTCCTGGATATAGTTGCATAAGTTCACGCATTTGTCCAACACCAGCCAGATGATGATCGGTTCCACTGAACAACATCGAACGTGTGGGAGAACATGCTGAAGCCGTGTGAAAATCGGTAAAAAGAGTCCCGCCATCAGAAGCGAGGGATTCGAGGTTGGGTGTGGATATTTCGGATCCGTATGGTGAACTGTCTGAATAGCCAAGATCATCAGCAACGATGATAAGAAAATTGGGACGACCCGTAGTTAATATATTGCTTTGCAGGGTAGTAGTAAATATAAATGAGAATATCAAGCGAAGAACAGTCACAAACATTGAGAATACTTCTTAAACTGTCTTTTATTTGCGCGAGCGACAATTGGCAATGTCTTTTCTTTCTTTTCGCGTTAACAATATGTTGATCTGTTTCATTCGTTTCTCTTTTGTAATCTTATTCATCCTCTTCCTCCGTCGTTTAATTCGATGTTCTTCGCGACTGTTATTGTCGATATCGCATGTTTTTCTTCCTATATTCTATACGAATTGTAACGACAATAACAAATTAAAAATATTAACTCACAAAGAAAGAAACGAAATTACCATTTGCCATTTGCCTGAAATGTTAGTCAAAAGGTTACACAAATAAACAGATGGTTTCAGATGTATTCTCAATGTTTGTCGACTTCTAAGTTTCATGGTCTAATTTGAGATGAAACAGACAGAAGGATACGAAAAAGTGATTGTTGTTTCGTGTCGTTGCTATTTACGCAAACGTCCATATTTGGTGCGCACGCGGAGAACGACGATAAGAGATAAAAGACAAAAAGGGAGGGCGACATTCATACCCAGGCAAACTTTTTCTGCGAAAAAAACGCGTTAAAGTGCGTTTAAATTTTCATAGAAACTAACGCGTTTAGCAGGATGTTTTTTGTCACATTCCGGACGTTCAAACGCGTTACTGATCAACGC